GTGTATTACACTCCCATTTTTCCTGCTCTCTATTCGCCGAAATCATACCTCCAACCATCCACTTTCACTCTTGTCCTTTAATTTGTCCAAGTCAATCCTTTCCTGTAGATAAATCCCAGCGAAAATAGTCTGCACTCATATAAATCCTTCTTACTGGGGAGCAATGATATATACACCCACACACAAATTAATACACACACACATATAATAATATACTTGTATATCACATAACTATATTCCGATCTAAGTATATAGATCGCCCATGTAGTTGTTAAGCAAAGCGAGGACTCTGGACATTCCGGAGTATGAGGAAATCTATTTACTCATATAATACTCCTAAAATAATTACAGATTTACAGTTGGGGCTAGTCCAAAAATAATTTCATCGTACCTCTCTTCTTCTTTGTGAAGTCTGCAAGCCTCAGCGACTCCACCCGTCCACCACTCGCCATGTCTCCCATCCCTTGCTGTCCACCATCAACTGTGTGGCGTCGTGGTGTCAGCTGCCTGCATCATCCCAGCAGCCCACTTACTCACCCAGGTGGCCCAACTAAACTATTGATCGCATCAGCAGCATCACCTACAGTCCAAGACTCCCACTCCGGCCACCGCCTGCTGCCCTGCAGCTTCCGGCCCTTCTTTGTCACTCGGCAATCTCAATCAAATCTCACACTCTCAAGACCCATGAGAGAGGAGTTTAGGGGAGGTTATAAAGATGAGATTAAATCAAGAGCTTTCCTCTCGTTTCTTCACTTTTCAAATGACATGACCACAAAATTATTTAGAGTTCCAATGCACTACACTACCGGTATCCTAGCCTGATTACTTTGACCAGGTCACCCTGCTTTTATGCCCTTTTCAACCCGTATCTTTTAATGTGAATGAGAAAGCATCGACCTGTTTTTGCTCCAGCGGTATACAATACTTTACCCTTGATTGTGACATTTTTGAGCGGGAAAAATGGCCTGAATTCCACCTCTTTTTTTATAGAGATAGATATTGTAGGAATAATTAATTCTGAAACTAAATATTCTTTTCTAACTAATAAGACTTATATATACATAAGACATTAGTTCTAAAACAATAGTAGGAAAGAGATCTAATCTATTACAAACTTAATAACTCATACTCCCTCCGTATTTTAATGTTCACTACATTTGATTTGGCACATTATTTAAGAAGTAAAGTAGTAGGGGTATTGAATAGTGTAGAAAAAGTAGGAGAGAGAGTGTAAAAGTATGAAAGAGAAGATAAAAGGTAGATAAAGTAAGGGTAGTTGAGTATTTTATAAAGGGTAAACTTACCAAAAATGGAAGTGTAGCAAACTTTTAAATACATCTCAAAAAGGAAAGTGTAGCAAACATTAAAATACGGAGGGAGTATTAAGATATCCCACACCAGCTGCGTATGAAAATACAAATTAACATATAGCCTTGGACTCCTCCTATTACGTTGACCTTTGAGGACGAAACTCAAGTCTTAATATGATATCAAAGCCGATTAAGCTCCAATGAGCAATCAGATTCGGGTAAGTCTCAACAATGAGCACACGAACTACAAGGTTGGTCTGCTCCAACGAGCCACTATTTATATAAAAATATATATAGTGGAGCTCGCTGGGATGTATTAAACTATCTCACACCGGCTGCATATGAAAATAAAAACTAACATGTAAAGCCTTCAACTACTACTCCTATTAGATTGGTTGGATGGAACCCCAAACTTTAATATGTTATCAGAGCCGATTAAGCTCTAATGAGCAATTAGATCCAGGTAAACTTCAACAACGAGCACATGGACTACAAAATTGGTCTACTACAACGAACCCACCATCCTACGGGAGCATATTAAGTTGTCCCATAGTGGCTGCCGCGTAAGATGAATCTCAAATCTTAATAATATTTGACTGAAATAAGGTAAACCTATTTAATGAATAGAGTACTTGAGATAACTTGTAGACCTCTCATGGTGGACACCTCTTCTATTGTTCTGGTAGACATGGCCAAACTGGTCCATATTACTAAACCTCTTGATACCACTGTAGTATCATGTTATTGTGCAAATATTATAGCAGGTGCAAGAGCGGTCAAATGATTTGTCGTTACAAAGTTTTTTAAACATAGGAAAATCTCAAACTATGGAATATTTTTAGATCTAGAGTTCAATCGTAAAGGTCGCAGGTCACTTAATCCCCGACAACTGCGCCAAAAATTGACAGACAATTTATAAGTCCTCGCAGGTGCACGAGTCACGGTAGTATAGTGCTCAAGTAAGGGTCGAACTCACAGGGAAAATGCAACTAAGTAATTGGAAAATAGTAGAATAAAATGAAATTAATTAACTAAAGGGGAGTTTTGAGAATGTTTGGATTTGAAACTTAAAAAGTAAAAATTGAATTAAATGGATGCAAGGAATTTAAAGGATTAAAAATAAACTGATTAAGCAGGTAAAGGAACAATGGTTGAGAATTTAGCAAGATAAAAGGTAGTCCAGGATCATGATTTTGTCACTAATTTCTAGTATTTTTGATTCAGTTCGTCCATTAAGAATTGGGGGTTCGTTCTAGGCATTAATATGACTATTCCATATGGCGTCCATGATAAGTCACATACTTTAACCATTAATCAATAGGAAACTATTAATTGAATAGTTCAAATCCATTAATCACAAAAGAACTACGGAAACCCGATTTAGGAACCAAATAGATAACCTAACAAGACAGTTGAAATATCTATTCTTTTATCCAAAAGAGCTCGAATTAATAGGCACAACATGTACTCTATTAATCCACTCCATCAACTTAATTAATCATGCTAAAATTGGCCAGAAGTTAACACAACAAATTAAGCGAATAAGAACCATGAATACAACTCAATCAATTGATATAACTAAAATCTCAATTCATACTAAATCATAGCAACATCATCATAATCTAGGACTTAAGAATTTAGCTACTCATAACAATAAAGTTATTAACTAAAAAAATAAGCATGGTAGGAACAATTTCAACCACTTTAATGATTAAAGTTGAGAAGAGCAGCAAACTAACAGACTGCTAAATTTGAAAATACCAGAAGCAATGAAACAAAGCTTTCACACAAATAAATTAAAATTTTCACAATCAAGCTAACCCCTGAAGTGGAGAAAATCTTCTGCAAGGGTAGCTATTGCTATCCTCCAGATTTATGCAGCTCCCCGCTCCAATACTTTTCTCCGGCCAGCACTCCCTCTTTGGCAGAAAGGATCTTCATCCTCCGTTCTACACAGAGAGCAACTAAGCAGCCCGGCTCTCCTTCCCAACCAGCCTCAACTTCTTCTTTATTTTCAATTTCTACCGTCTCTTGTGGCTTCAAAATGGGATGCCTTTCATTTTTCTCAATTACCTTCCCACTTCTAAGAACCGTGACAGCTTTTGCCTCTTCAATTTGGCTTGGTAGCTTCCCTTGCACATGTCCATGTAAACATTCAGCAATCTGTCCCACTTGTATCCTTAACTTCCTCAAAGAAGCTTCATTTTGTGGGAACGTTGCTCATTGACTTGCTGATTTTTGGTGCATATTTGCATGAATGTTTGCAAAGTCTCCTCCATAGAAGGTTTCTTTTTTACAGGTGGCGGCTGGTTGCTTTGTTGCATGTTAGCCCAAGAGAAATTTGGATGATTTCTCCAACCAGGATTGTAAGAGTTCGAAAATGGATCGTTCCTTGGCCCTTGGTTGTAGGAGTTCATCATGTGGGCTTGTTCAAAACCACCTTCAGGTACTGCATTCACAATGGAAGTAGATTGACTCATTGTCATCACAGAGCGCATGTTCTTCATCTATTTGGATAACTCGGACATTTGGATGGCTAATATTGTCCCAACTCCCACTTCATAAATTCTTGTACTCCTTCCTCTCACACCTTTCTGTTGGGAATTAGCTCCAAGCATCTCATAAAGCTCTAAGGTCTGTTCAGTTGTCCTCTCTCCCATTGCTCCTCCGGCCGCGTTGTCAACAATAGTTTGGCTTCCTTGGGTTAAACCATAGAAAGTTTGATTTTGAAGCACCAATGAATAGTCGTGGTGAGGGCATTGAGTGAGCATCATCTTGAATCTCTCCCACGCCTCATGAAATGGCTCACCTTCAGCTTGAGTGAAAGTAGTAATTTTTCTCCTTAACATTGAAGTTCTGGACTGCGAATAGTGCTTGCCAATGAATTTATTGTAAACTTAAGTCCAAGTGCGCAGGGAACCAGGTGTCAAAGACATAAACCATGTCTTCGCAGCATCTTTGAGAGTATACGGAAAGCACCTCATCCTGAGTTCATCTTCCCTCACTCCTTGCAAGGGAAAATTCTGGATGATGCCATAGAAATCTCGGATAAAGATCAATGCATCCTCAGAAGCAAGCCCATGGAAAGATGGAAATTGGTTAAAGTGAACAGTCTTGAGATCATAATTCCAGGCAGCCTCACTCAGTACATTGCAGGACGGGGAGACACCTATGGTTGGTCTCTTAAACTCTTTTATCAATGGAGCGTCACCCATTGTTGGACTAAGAGCAAATTTGAGCCTCCTTTTTATCCTCTTACCAATCAACTCTACTCCGTTGTTCAACGCTATCAATTGCGGATAGCCTCCAATAAAATTTATTGGAGGAGCCCTAGCCTTTATATATTTTTTATGTTTTATAATGTTCTTTGTGAGATCAATCTTTTAATCTCCTATGCTTGAAAAACCATTTGACAATTGCTAGCATACACTGTAAAAAGCCCTTTTCTATTCCTAGACTACACTAAAAGAATGTTTTTTGGTATATTTTATATTTGATTTCCTCTGAAGTTCATAAATTCTCATCCCCATAAAAACTTTTTCTGAACCATTTTACTCGAGTAAATTAGACCTTAGGTATACTTTTCTTTACATATTACACAAAACTCTTGTGCTGGTGAACTCGTTCCTGCCTTTGCTTTCACCCAGCCCATTCTTTCTTTAATTCGATCTTTTTTATTTGCACCTGCAGATTTTGCCATTAGTTCAACCTACAAAGATTATCATGAATATTAAAGTGACTAACTATGAATGGCACGAGTTCTTCCCAAACTGTAATGTCTTGCTTTCATGCTTAGCATCCTTAATTCCTTATGGTCTACTGTTTATACGCGATCAGCCGATCACCTTACATTACATTTACATGTGATGCAGTGGCAAATAATATTGGTGTTGTGGTCGCAATTTGGAGTCCAATTGTTCTGGTATGTAATGAAATGGAAAATAAAAAATCAGATCAAGACCTGAACTCCATACGCTAACAAATGAATTTTACAGGTCTATTTTTTGGATACACAAATATGGTATGCTATATTTTATACAATTGTAGGAGGGATTACTGGAGCATTCAGTCACCTTGGTGAGGTAATTATTGCTCGTTATTAAAATGGAAGAACCCTTGGATATCACTATATGTTAAAAGTCTTTCACATCCTGAACCTCAGAGAATTGCTATGTATAATTATTTTGACTAATAAATTTTCCTTTCTAGTAGATTAGAACACTTGGGATGCTAAGGTCTAGATTTGTATCTATTCCATCAGCTTTCAGAGAACGCCTTGTGCCACATTCAAAAGAGGAGCACGAACAAGTCAATGGAGTATAACAATCTTTCGTTGTCCTTATTTATATATACATGACACAAATTTATGTTTCGGTCTGTCCCAAACATTCACTTTAATAGCTCTTGATACACTGTACTGTTTTTATTTATCATTGTTGTTTAGGATGATTTGTTGGAACGAAAGAACATTGCAATGTTCTCTCAAATGTGGAACGAGTTCATAGTATCAATGCGAATGGAGGACTTGATCAACAATAGGTTACAATTGCTACCTTACATTTGTATTGTGGTTATGCATTGATTTGATTGGACAAATGTCATGGAGAGAGAATAGCATGTTAAGTTTCTATTTCATCCCCAAATGTGAGATTTTATCAAGTTAATATAGTTTTTGTTGGCACCATTGGCTAGGGAAAGAGATCTCCTTCTTGTGCCATACTCATCATCGAGTAAAATTAAAGTTATCCAATGGCCTCCATTCTTGCTTGCAAGTAAGGTAAGAATATCATTGCTTTCTCAAGTGTTATTAGAATTAAGCATATAATAGTAATAAGAGTGGAAGAATTTTCTGTGTTTTATTGAAGGTTAAGGCCCTATTAATCTAGATTACAAAGATAAAATATTCTTATATAAGATGCTTCTCAATAATAATGTCTAGGGTATATTCCTAATATATTCTAAAGCATATTCCTATACTTATTCTATGTATCTTTCAAACACCCCCTCAAGTTGGACCATAGATACTTGTTACATAAGTAATCACCTCAAATCCCATTTAGTGCTTTAGTGAATAAATCTCCAAATTGTTCTCCAGTCTTGTTCTAGTATCTTTCACACTCAGTGTGAAGGGAGTGCAATCTGTGTTGACTTGTTACTATGTTTTGTTGTTCCCATTAGATCCCGGTAGCAGTGGACATGGTAAAAGATTTTAATGGAATTGACGATGCTGAACTATTCGGGAAGATTAAGAGTGATGAATTCATGCTTTCGGCTTTGATTGAATGCTTTGAAACACTCAAGGGCTTATTGACTGAAATAGTGGAAACTGCTGATGACAAGAGGTACGACAAATTCCAATTATTAATGGAGCTATTTCTTCAGTCCACCTCATCACAAAAAAAACTGTTCTGCCAAATACATGGGTCAATACGCGATCAAACAAGTAGAATATTTGTGTGACATCTAGTTTAACAAGCATTGTTGTTATATCTGATTTGAGCTATATGGCTTCTCTACACACATTTGCAGGATCATTGAGCAGATATTTGACGAAGTAGATGACAGCATAAAAGAGAAAAAATTTCTTAGAAGATTCAATTTGAAAAAGCTCCCTTTACTGAACAATAAATTGGAGACGTTTTTTGATATTATGGTTAGTAATTTCACAATTCTTTGTCCAAATCCAACCTTTATCTTTTTAGTTCAACTTTTTTGAAAGCTCTAGAAAGGGTGCCGGTATTGTTCATGCAGGTGACAACTGTGACATAAACAATTTCAAATTTGCAGGTAAATGACAGTGAAGTCCATGGGGATGAGACGCAGAGAAAGTCACGACTGGTAACTCTCCTCCAGGATGCTTTTGAAATTTTCATTCAGGATGTGATGGTTGATGGAAATAAGTGAGTTTTTTAGATAACTCATTTGTAGATTGCATATACTTATTGTTTTATGGATATAAGACAAGCTTTCAAATATCACTGATTTGTAGAATCATGAAAGGATCCCAGAAAAAAATGAAAGGCGAGGAAAAATTTCAGAATATAAACATGAAAATATGTAAGACATCTTGGTGGGAAAAGGTAACACGTGTTTTAACTTTCTGCAAATATTCTTTCCCATGCTTCCCTTGTGCGAATGCTCTTTGTCTTTTGGTTTCACTCTTTTACAGGTTGTTAGGCTCCATTTGCTATTGACAGTAAAGGAGTCTGCAATGAATGTGCCAATGAATTTAGAAGCGCGTCGAAGAATGACCTTTTTTGCGAACTCTTTGTTCATGAAAATGCCATCTGCCCCAGAAGTTCGAAATATGCTGTCTTTCAGGTTCATTTCCAAAACATAATTAAGGGGTGTTTGTTATATAGCCATTGAGTACTTAAGTTTATCCTAGTTATTTAGGTCAATGCCAAGTTGCAAGTTTGACATTAAAAAATGTTTTTAAATAATTTGTTGGTTCTCATTTTGTCAGCTCTTATGGAGTTGTGGGATTTGCATGCACTAATTAAGAAGCATTATTGCTCTTCCATTTCATTGTAAAGTGTGATGCTCTTATTTCACATACCTTTAACTTGTATGCTAAAAGTGAAGACAAGTCCGAGGTAAACAATTGTATCTCGCGGAATATTTTAGAAAGAAGATGGAAAAAAGTTCAACTTAAGGACACTAAACACTTAAAGACTAGTGCAATTCATTATTAGCAAACATTATTAGTAGACTGTTTAGGGTTTAGGGTTTGGAAGCAGCATTTTAATTTTATTGTATGCTTGCTATTTATTTTTAATGATCAGACTATTTATTTTTCTGTTGGTTACTTTTATTTTGTAAGACTTTTGTGTTAAATTCCCACACCGGAAACTTGTGAAGGAATAAAATGCTATATTAAGACATGGGTTACTCCTCCTATCAGGTTGACCTTTTAGGATGGAACCCCGGGTCTTAACATGGTATCAGAGCCTAATCGATCCATGGTGTGGGCCCCCTTATGAAAAATTGATGACACGATTATAAAAAAAATGGACAATGACGAACCGACGAAAAAATGAATGACGACACGATCCAGACGAAGTGTCTGGTCGTCAGGAGGGGTGTTGAATTCCCACACCGGAAACTTGTGAAGGAATAAAATGCTATATTAAGACATGAGCTACTCCTCCTATCAGGTTGACCTTTTAGGATGGAACCCCGGGTCTTAACATTTTGCATTAGGATTGGGTGATGGGAGGTCTGCTTTAACCGTCGTTGGCTCATTTGTGCCCATTATAGGATCAACGAGTTATATTGCTTTTCTGGAGGTGATTGACTCTAAGTCTGGTTCGAGGGCTGGTGGTTGTCTGTGCTCCTTTTGTCGTTTCACCCCCTATCTAAATGTTTTGATATCAATTTAAGTCATCTGTTTTGACGATAAAAAAACGTAGAAATCTATAGAGCTGAACTTAGAAACCTGGCCTTCTTTTGGACCGAACTTTGGAAATTTAAACTTGAAAACGTGACTAGAAACAATTAAAGGTATCCATTGAGCATTCTCACGTCGAACTTGAATTTCACTTTTTTTGTTACTTTCACTTACTTGGACTTGAGTTTAACTTTGCTTGAGGAAAGTTTTCACTTCATCCTTCTTGTTCTTCCTCTCAATTCCTTCTTCGGTTTTGTCTTATTTGTTGAATAGATGAATCATGTGGTCTTCTTTTTGTGTCGAGTTTTCTGAAGCAGTCTTCTCTGATTGCTTTTTCTCCTTCAAGAGCCATGTAGAGGACAAGTAGTTCCAAATAGGCCACACACATAGACCTTGAAATTCAGCTAAAAATGTATCGTCAGAATTTCTTTCAAGCCCTGGCGCGTGACACGAGAGGTTGGAATTGTTCCGGTAAAAGGTGGTGTGCTCATGCGTGCAGTACTGCACTGTCAGATTGTAGTGGGCTTTTAGCGTAGTTTTGCATTGAGGCTGGCGTGGTCAGCTTTGTCAAAAAGTCACTAGAGATATTTTGAACTGAACTTGGGCACTTAGAAATAGGGTGGTCACTGTTCATGGCAGAAGAATGATATAGATGAGGTCATTATTCGGATTTTTGTGACTATTTTAAGGTTTGGCTAAGATACCATGTATAATAATTAGCCTACTTATTTACAACTTCATTATTTCTGAAGAACACTACAATGCTTATAAGGAGAAATAATGGGGCCTAAACCCAACAGGAATAAAGAAAAAACATCAACCTTAAACCATATGAGAATGGAAAGCCATAATGTGCATATATGCCACAAGTGATACGTTTACAAATTAAGTGTAATAAATTCTTGGTAGGTATTTCTTTGCGCATATGGGATCGTTATTCTTGGTAGGTTTTGAATGGAGCCAAAGGTTCATTATTTTTTGGTTTATAAATATGATGGAATAAAGCAAAATGGCTCACTAAACTGTTTGTGCTTCTTTTTTATGAAGCAACAATCAGTCCATGCAATTTTTGACATCTGGAAACCGTCTCTCTATGCCTTAGTACATGGTAAGGCACTAAGCGGTAGGGGTAAGGCACTAAACAGTCTCTTTATGCTTTAGTGAATAGTGAGAAAAATGGCTCATTAAACTGTCTATGTTTCTTCGTTATGAAGCGGCAGTTAATCCACACAATTTTTGCTGACTAGGCGTTTTGGCGCTAGGGAGTGCTACTGGGAACCCTCGCCTCGCAAGAAAAAGACTAGTTGAGCTTAGCATCGTCCAAGTGTCGTCTAGGCGTGAACTTGGCGACAAGTATCCACCTAGTTTTGCCCAGTCGAACAACCGTCTGCAGGCGCAGGCCAAAAAAAGAATAGATTAAGGTTTAGGAGAGTCGTAGAGTTGAAGCAGAGTAGCAGACGAACCGTAGAACTCTAGGAAGCATAAGAAGTCGCCGGACTCGCCCTCCCTTAGTCCGTCGTTGAAGCAGACGACCACAGATCAATACATTCCCAAGTCCACCGATCTCTATTTTTTTATGGAGGTCCACCGATCTCTTATTCTCTTTGAATTTAGTTTTTTATATTATAATTAATTAACTATTTAAGTTGTGTGTGTGTATATATATATATGTATATCAGTATTTGCGTATATAATATATATACTTTTATATTATATAAACAGTTAAACATGCTGAACAACTTTCATTATCTATACGCTGAACATGAACACGCTGAACTGCTGATATGATCTATACATTATTAGTTTATTATACTACCTCCGTCCCGAAAACAAGTTCCCGGGTTGACTTTCACACATTTTAAGGAAATAAAGTTACCGAGGGGTAAATTTTACTGTTTTGACACTGTTGTGCACTGTTTGACACTGTTTAACACTGTTTTGATGTGGATTAATTTGCCAAATAAGAAATTGGGAAGTTTATTTTGGGACATCCAAATAAGGAAAGTGAGAACTTGTTTCCGGGACGGAGGGAGTGTTATAAATAATAAACTATTAAACTATTAGTAAAAGTTATTATATACTACCTCCATCCCGAAAGAAGTTCTCACTTTGCTTTTATGGATGTCCCAAAAAGAAAATTGTTGAGAACAGAAAAATAAAAATCAACGGGGTAAACCGTTGCCCAGATAATCAACGATAAAAAACGTTGCCCAGAGCCAAAAGGCTAAACTCCAATTTTATTCATAAATGAGAAAGAATGAATCCTAACAAGGGGTTTAAATACAAAATAGGAATCCTAATCAACTCCATCTACTAATTCCCAAACTAGGAAACAAAAACATAGAAATCCTAATCAACTCTAACTAGGAAACAAAATAATAGAGATCCTAATTAACTCCAAATAGGAAACAAATAATAGAAATCCTAATTAACTCCTAATAGGAAACAAATAATATAAATCATAATCAACTCCAAATAGGAAATAAATCGGGAAAATAAAAAAGAATAAAAATCAAGTAAACAGCCCGCAACCAGCCCGTCCCCGCCTTCAGTAAACCCACGGGGGCTTCTGCCCCTCTTCTTCCAAGCCCAGATTATGCTTCATATCAATTCCACCCCATTCGAAAAAACCTTGTCCTCAAGTTCTTCATTTTCTTCAGCTAGCATCACCTTTAATTGTTTGAAAGGACAATCGTGCCCCATCGTGAAAGGTTTCCGGCACTTGGAGCATAATCCCTTGGCCCGCAGCTCTTATAACACCTTTGGGGGAAGCCTGGTGAACCTCGAGCGTGCAGTAGACTGCCCGGACAGCCCTGAATATGTCCTCGGGGGCTGCCCACTATCTTTCGGGAGGCTGCCATTCGATCCCTGTATGTTGCCACCACTGGCAGTCAACGGAGGACCCGTGTTTGACAGTGAAAAGTTGCTGGAACGTGTCCCTGTAGGATTATAATTTGGATTGCCTCTTCCCCACTCTGAACAGACAGATTGTACTCCACATCACGAGCTGATTCCATAGCCTCTTCCAAGTTATTCGATCGAAGTAAGCGCAGCGAGCTTCGGATTGATTCTTTCTGTCCATTCATGTAGTATCCCAAATAATGTTCATTAGACAATTTTGGAACTTGGCTGGCCAACTGAACAAACAGGGTATTGTAGTCCTCCACTGATACGATCTGTTTGATGCCGGACAGCCATTCAAACTGTTACGAGTGTGGTTGGGATCTCGTTTTAGATCTAGCAAATAGAGATTATGAGAGGAGGATAATAAAATAAGCCTAAGCTAGAATTAATCTGTACCCGACCTTGTCAAGACACAAAAGAATTCATTCTTCCCAAGCTGTTTATTGAATAATATTGATGTCCCTTATATAGCTATTACAAGAGTCCTAAGAGGAAATAAATGCTAACTAAGAAGTTGCCTAAAGCAAAATAGGAATAATTAAAAAAGGAGATAAATGCTAATTAAGAAGCTGCCTAAAGCAGGATATGAATAATTATAGAAGGAGATAAATGCTAATTAAGAAGCTGCCTAAAGCCGACATAGAAATAATAATAGTACTAATAATAATGTAATGTTTCTTGACTTCTTCTCCCATATCATTACTCCCCTCTTGGACATCAAGCTTGTCCTCAAGCTTGAAGAGAAGTAACCGGCGGTAGTGTCCACCTTTTCCACGATCAAACGGCATTATTGGGAAATAAACGGACAAACAACCATGTGTGATAAAGTGAAGGTTGATGAGTTGATTTCCTAGGACAGCATGACACTTTTTCCTCTTCGATTCTCCAAGGCCTTCATTCTTTAAATACTTGCAGAGAATTAAGTGTAGTGGAGAGTTGTAGATCTTTTCTGGTGGAGTTACCAGAAACTTTTGGGCTACCAGATTAGGCAAAGGATTTAGTATCAGCTTATCTGGTAGATGTGGAG